TCTACTTAACTATTTTAGTTAAAAACATCCAAATTAATAGATGTGCTTTTGCTTAGATCATGTTTTTATAAAGTGAATTACTAACAGATATTTCCATTCCCTACTGTTCCTAAACAAAGACTTCAGGCAAGTTACACATTTGAATGAATTACGACTAGATGGAAACTCTAACAGATGCCACTTACCCATGGACATTATTTAGATGCGAGGACATCTCATAAAACAATTGTCAAAACACCATTTTATTTCATCATCCTATTATCACTCAGTATTAAAGGGACACATACTTATGCTTTTTTTGATACATGATGTTCCTTGGAAAATAATCACATTCTTTAGAAGTTTAACACACTTGCCTTTTCAGATTTTCTAATACCATTAAATACTGTCAATTTTGAAAATGAGAATTTGAGCCACATAAAAGTTTCTGCCTGGACTTTAACAGAATTCATGAATAATATTCATTATATGTAGAAACTCTATCACAGCTGGGTTCTGCTACCAAAACATGGCTATTTATTTAAGGAGTAATGTCACTGAGGTCTTAATAAAATAGTGGTTACTAATATTGATGAGGAATAAGAAAAAGAACTTTGGTATTCTTTAAATTAACATCTTAAAGAAATCTTTCATGATAACTTATGTAATTAAAATTAATTTAAAAGCAGAACATAGATATACTTTTATAATTTTATTTGAGGATATGGAAGGGATTTACATTGCATGATAAGGAATTTTGTCACTGCAGAAAAATAATTCACATAAATAGAGACAGACTTAGTTTCAAAGTTGTATACATTTAAAGTCACTAAGCAGTTTAAACTGTTTTATTTTCATTAAATAACACTGACATATTTAAATATTAAAATTTATATTTTGATGCAATTATCACTTACATACTGCACATCACATCTTTGAAATAAAGTATAAAATGTTTTACAGTTGGCTGAAATAAAATGATAAAAAGCTTATAGTTTGCTGAGGTGCTGACATAATTACCTAAGAGTCTATAGAAATGATAACTGTGTTGACTATGCTACATATCTCATCCAGACAAAATATCATAATTATTAAGTAAAGTTAAATATAATGCCAAATATTTTTAAAAAAGACGTAAAATTACTCAAACTGAACGATTTACAAAATGGAAGTATTAAAAATTTCAAAAGAAATTATCTTATAATTTACACTTGGGAGAGCCAAGAATAAAAACTTTATGGAATTAAGCCTCACAAAATGAGTATCAGATAAAGATGGCTAGAATTGCAGTATGAGATCAATAATAATTACATTCATTATTAATAATAATTAATTGTATTAATGATACAATTCAGACTTAGACTATTCTGAATGCTATCATTTGAATCTCTAGACTTTTAAACACCAAGCTAGACAAACAACAGAGTAAGTGGTTCAGTGCCTGTATGCTACTGAATCCATCCCTATTGTCAAGGATGCTCTGTGGGCTAGGATTGGTGACACACACAGCAACTTGGATACAAACCATGTCAAGTAATTTCATTCAATAAATCTTTCAAATGGATTCTGCCTAGCATGGCTGACTTTTCCAAAGCAGCTTATTCAATGGTTTATTCACTGTCAACTCACAATTGTGCATTCTTGTTTTTTTGTTTAATTATGAATTTGTTAGTGTTAAGGAAGAAAAATGGTATGGAAATCTATACCTTTCTCTCCCTATGAAATTAAAGGATCATTTTCCTTCTAATCGCACTCATTTTTAGGACTGATCATAGAATATTATTTTTCTGATTGTGAAATAGTGCCTGAAAATATGTATATTACATCCTTAAAGCACTTTACATTTGTGTTACTTTAATTTAAGACATTAAAATTAGCATATTTGAGGCCAAATAATCATATAGTTTCCTAAAAGTCCATGTTCTAGTCCTACTTATAATTTCATTCTCTATAAAAATAATCCTCTGCACTACAACCTTTATTTCCACTGACTGTAAATTTAATTCAGAAATTTGTAATAATGATATTAATGTTTTGAGTAAAACTTCATGTACTAATCAAAACACAGTCTTATTTAGACTATATTCTGACAGGTTAATTATTGTGTGTCTCATTCATATTCATAAAAATGCATACTTTCCATTCAGGGAAAATTATTGATTTTTATATTGAACTTCCCTCTTTGTCTTCCTGGAGTCTCTTTAGGAAGTAAGAATTACTATTATGATGATGATTATTAGAAATGAGAGAAAATCTAGTACTTCAATCTGTCACACAGCATGTCATGGTCCCTTCCTGTCTTTATCTTCTTTTCATACACCTAAACTTTTTAAAAACAAAGGAGTTTTACATCCCATTTCATCCTATATCATTGTTTCCATCAATGCTGCCCCAGAGTTTCTTACTTCTTATACCCACCTCTGCAATCTTAGGTATCTAAGTCTAGTTGCTCACATTTACTTTTTGCTTATGAGATATCTTGCACTTTTCTAAAAGATTGTTCATTATTCATTAATTGGTACGTGTGCCAAGCCTCTTTTTTGTGTGAAGAAACTTGTTAGTCACCCAACTATGTAATGGTAGTTCTGGGATTTATATCCAGTTAGTTTGCCTTAAGGCTTTACTTCATGAAATATTAACAACTACAGAAAACCTTAAAGACTGTTAGTACTTCTCATTGTCCTTGCCAACTTTTCCCTTCCTCTTTTATTCCCTGTCTTTCTGAAGTCATACTTTAACTTCTTAACTCTGCCAGTGCTAGCAGTATACCCATTTTATTTCCTTTGCCAGGTGATACCCCTTTGAAGATTGTATTCTGACTCATCTTTTATAGCTTCTGTAGTGAGTAATAAAATGCCATTCACATATTGAGCTCTCTACAAATATTGATTATATGGATTTACCAGAGAAGGAATGGAAAGATAGTCCAAGATATATCACAAAATAATTTTAAACCATTTCAGCATTATGCTTAGCAAATCTATGACTTGAAAGCCATGATTATTCCAACTGGGAATTTATTTCTTTACAAGTTGAATTTTTTTGTGTGTGTTTTGGACTTAAACTGAGTAATTACTTGAACATTTCAGTTTCCAAATAACTCATTCAGTTGACTGAATCCTTTGATTTTTACCAAACCATATTACAGTATTCAAAACTATTCTCCAAGGAATTTTGGTGAATTGTGCTTATTGTAAAAAGAAAACAAATTAAAGTATAAATAATTGTTTATATTAATAACTATATCATTGTAAATGACTTGTTTTCTTTGAACTGAATAAAAAGTTTTTTTCATATGTGAATATATTAGCTCATTTATATAATATCTTGTTTGGAAGGGAGAAAAGGTTAATTATATTTTAAAAATAACAAGCTAATAGTTACTTAAAAGGTATTAAAGATAAAATGATTTTAAGATATCATTAGAGGCAGTTTAATTTACTCAATTTCTTATGTTTAAGAAATGGGGAGACATTTGCATATATGAGGCTTTTCTTTCTTGAACCATCAGGAGATCATATTTCTTCCTCTTTTTTTACATGTTGGCATTACATTCTATTTTGACAGCTTCCTAGTAGAAATTTTAATGATTACAACAAACACAACTCTTAAATATTTATAGCAACACATTAGATGCGAAATTTAAGATGTGCCTCTTATTTTTTCAAACTCCAATTTATTACCTACATCATCAATATTCCCATAATAAAGAACAAGGTAGTTAATGGGGGTTATCTACAAATTTATGGAATTAAGAAAAAGAATTCTTGGGAGACTTCAATTCTGGGATTGCATTTATTCTTTAAATCCTTTAAGTTCTGCAATTTATAAACATGTATCTCACCTGATGGGAGGTGGGGGAGTATAAAAGCTAATTATCCAACATACAATTTCACAGCACTGAGAGGACCAGAGTACCTGTTATGAATGGATTTGGAATGGATTTTCTTAAATTTCTAAATGATCTTTTTCTTAGTTGTTTAGAGATGAAATTATGATTGGTAAATACAGTATAGATTGTTAACAACAGAATAGCTTCCTAATGAATTATGCAAAAAAAAAAAAAATACAATCGAGCTAGAGACCTAGATGGGAATAGCAGCTCTGAAGAGGTAGGAGAGAGAGGGAAGAAAGGGTTACGACAGACAGACAGGCAGACACATGGGGGGGGGGGCGGACAGGGGACGGGGAGAGACAGAGAGACAGAGAGAGAGGCAAGCACAGGCTCACACATAGAGAAAAGGGTGCTTTTTTCATGACCCGGTAGTTATTTTATTGATTCTTGGTGGCAGCAAAGAATCTGTTTCCTTGCAATTCATCCTATGTAACTAAACAAAATGCTTTTAAATCCGCCCCTGACCTGAAGAAAACAACATTGTTTTCGGAACAGGTAGGCACTCTTTAAAGTGAGTTACTCTACAATTAGAATGACTTTATATTCCTTACCTTTGTTTAACTGGTGGTCTAGAACAACAGAATATTCAGAACTGAGTATCAGAAAGGCAGCAAGGCAAATTCAAAGTACCGCTTTCTGGAGTGATACTCACCCCCTTCTTAGACATTTCAAAGTCTCAGCTCACTTTCCCTTTGGTTTATCACTGTTGCATGGGTGCACTTTGATCATACTGCCAGCAGATAAACGAATAACCCCTGCTTGCTCTTGGTACAATAAAATGATGTAACATTTTCAGTAAAAGACATAATTGATAAGTGAGTTTGCCCTTGGCAAACTGTAATGATTAACACTGGTCAGTCCCCCTCCCCCCCCCCCCCCCAGAATCAGCCAGTGGAGACTGATCCTCTACTCAAGTTTAAAGCCTTTCAATTGGGTCTCAAGCCCAGGTAAGAGTAAAACCGCTTCCCCAGTACATAAAAAGACAATATAAATCAGCTGAGCTTGTCAATGCGAATCTACAGACAGAGGAGAATTAAAATTTCCTTTCCCCAGGAGACAGTGACTAAGGCAGGCACACTGACCATCCCGAAAAGAGGTAAAGAGAGAGTGAAATGGCTCAACGTACACACACCCCGCTCCATACCGGGGACGAGTCTCCAAGCTGCGGTGTGTGCTCTCGGAGGGCCAGGCTGAAGCTGACTGCCCCCACGGCCACGCTGGACACCCCCAGCCCTATCTCCAGCACAGAGAGCACCAAGAGGCTCCCAATGATCTGGCTGCTGGTGCACATTCTCCTTGAGTCATCATTCCTTCCAGCTCAGAGAAGGAAGACAATCATCCACCTTCTTTCTTCCAAAGTCCTCCTTAGCCCTTTCCACCCACTACCACGGTCCAGATCCTCAAACTTTTCTCTTTTCACCAGCAAAACGTTATCCACAAGGTCTGGATTTCGAAAACCGGAGAAGCATTTCCGTGGCCAGACCAGAGGAGAAAGAGCTGCTCCAGCCCCTGGCACGTTCACACAGGAACCGCCAGCAATGGGTGGGAGTCTAGAAGCCAGCACTGGGAGCCGGGCACTGGAGTGCAGACTCTGAATGTGAGCTCAGGCTGCTTGCAAGGCGCTGTCCAGAGTTCTGCCGCCCTGGGTTCTGCGCTCCCAGGAGCCTCCTGCACCTTTCAGGCTCCCTCCTCTTTCCCAGTGGAGGAACCGAGCTTGGCTTCCTAGAGAAGGGGGTGGGGGGGTGGGGGGAGACTGCTTACAACCCCTCTCCGCCAGTCCTTTTGCCTTCCCCTTCTTTGTTTTCCAGGCAGCGCAAAGTGCTTCTGTGAGTCCCTAGGTCTTCAGGCAGAGCAGGTGGATGGTATTCAGCACCACATTCCTCGCACTTACTGTGTCGCCAGAAAACACGACCTTGTCTGATGGCCACTTTCCATCTGGGTTTTTTTCTCCGTCGTCCTCTTCCTCCCCCTCTCTCTTGATCTGATTCTCTCTCATCGCTATGACCTCATTGGGGTTTAGGAGGCTGACAGAGGAGGACAAATCCTGATTTATTTGTGGGTCTTGGACCAATACTCTTGGCTGACCCCTTATTCGTCCCGCCTCTGGACCCAATCTGAGAATCCCAAACTCTACCTCTGTGCCTCATATTCCCTCCTGGGCTTCTACACAGCCAGGAGGGGTGGCTATGCCTGATACCTACGTCAGTGTAGGTTCATATTATATGCAAAACTTTCCTCCACATGTACTTTCCTCTGATTGGGGAACATAGAGCAAAGGAAGGCCAAGTTCACCAGAACGAAGAGACACCAGACCCCTGATATCACAAAAATATCAGGGGGCCCTTAATGAAAAACTCATCTGTCACACTGAGCCCAGGCTGGAGCCTGTTCACTAAGAGAGTCCACTCTGTACCATCACTTCCTGGCACCTTTCTATTCTAGGGAGGAAGAAGCAATCAGTTGGAGCCACACTTTCCTTGCTAGCCAAGTGCTCACATATCCTGAGAGGCATAGTCAGATCCAGCATGACAGAGACCCTATACTCTTATCTCGGAAAGATAACTGAAAAGATAAGACTGAATAGTTGAGATACATATACTTAAATACTACACCAAAAGAAGCAGTATTTATAAAAGAGAAAATGTTTGATTTAGTGCATACCTGGTTTTGACCATCTTCAATTTCTTTTCTGAACCATATGTCAGGGACTCAAGCATGACTCATGCTTTTGTTGTTTTCTCTGATGTGTGTTTGGAATCTAAACACAGGGAAATTGCAGTGCGTGGATCAGTTTTATACTCTATGATTTTGCCCCAGGAAACATCTCAAGGTGTTGCATCAAAGATATTCAGAATGTGGAGGGATTCTGAGGTATGGTTCCATCAACCATTTTTCTCAAGAACTAGTTCTTCAGTTAGAGATGACTTGAAGGAAAATGTAGACAAGGGGGTCCAGTTACAATCCATAATGAAGGAACCTTGGCCTCTGTCCAAACATTGCTCATATTTTTTTCTTTCTTTCTTTTTTTTTCAAGCTCCAATGTTGAGGAAACAGAAGCCCTAATTCTGCACCAGAAGTGTCAGTTTCTTTAAACATTTGATTCAGGGCTTGTTTCATAGCTTAACTACTACACTTTCTTTTATTTCTTTATGATATTAACTATTTTGTTTGTGCTAGAACTATAAACTCTGTCACAAGAAAGTTCTGGGTTCAATACATACCTTTGAGGGTATTTTACACAAATATGTTCAGATAGTGTGTATGTGTGTGTGTTTCTGTTAACTCTACTTCCTTTTTTTTTAACCTCTGGACATTTGCTATTCAAAGATTCAAAGTTGCTTCAAAAATCTCTTCTTATTGTTCTTCATTTCAAAGGGGCCACAAATCTGTGAATAGTGCCTCTGCCATGGCCCCATGTGTCACACAGCCTACACCTTGGCATAAGCTTAAAGCTACAGAGATAGAAACTTAGTGTGACTCCTTCCTTGTCTTTTTTAAATACACATGCAATAATTTCTGTGGCCTTCCAGCTTCTGTTCACCAAACCCTTATTAGATCAGTGTCTACATTTTATGGTTTCTTTCTTTTCTTTTGAAGTATGTTCAACTAAAAGGACATTAATATCACATCTCCTAGGAATGAACTCATATCTTTTTATCTGACTTTATATTTTCCTACCAGTGGCATGTACCTTAAGTCATTTTAAAAACAATCTTATTTTACATACCAATCCCAGTTCCCTCTTCTTTCTGTCCTCCCCCATTCCTGCTCCCCCCGCCTTCTTCCCATCTACTCCTCAGAGAGGGTGAGGCCTCTCAAGGAATCAACTAAGTCTGTTACATCATAATATGGAGCAGGACTGAGGCCCTCCCCCTGTATGTAGACTGAGAAAGGTATCTATCCATAGAGAATGGGCTTCAAAAGCCAGTTCATGCAAGAGGAATAAATACTGGTTCCACTGCTAGTGGCCCCACAAACTGACCAAGCCAGACCATTGTCACCCGCATTCATTCAGGGGGATAGTTTGGTCCTTAGCAGGTTCCCCAGCTGTCAGTGTGGAGTCAGTGAGCTTCCATTTGCTTGCATCAGCTGTTTCTGTGGGTTCCCCATCATAGTCTTGACCCCTTTGTTCATATTATTGATCCTTCCTCTCCAAGACTGGACTCCAGGAGTTTGGCCCAGGGCTTAGCTGTAGATCTCTATCTGCTTCCTCAGTTACTGGATGAAGGTTCTATGATGACAATTAAGGTAGTCATCAATCTGATTACAGGAGAAGGGCAGTTAATGTATCCTCTCCATTGTTGCTTAGATTCTTAGCTGGTATCATCCTTGTGGATTCCTGGGAATTCTCCTAGTGCCAGGTTTCTCACTAACCCTATAATGGCTCCTTCGATAAAGGTATCTCTTTCCTTGCTTTCCCTCTCCGTCTTTCCTCCAACTTAACCATCCCATGTCTCCTCATGTTATACTCTTCCCTGTCCTTCTCCATCCCCATTTGCCTATCACCCTCCTTCTTCCCCCCCCCCCCACCAGGCTCCCAATTTACTTGGAAGATCTTGTCTATTTTCCCTTCCCAGGGGATCCAAGTATTCTGGGGTTGTTATGTAGGAGGGCTATCTTTTCCTTTATGTCTAATATCCACTAATGAGTGACTACATAGTCTGTTTATTATTCTGTGTCTGAGTTACTTCACTCAGAATTTTTTTTCTAGTTCTACCCATTTGCCTAAAAATTTCAAGATGTCATTGTTCCTTAACACTGAGTAGTATTCCATTGTGTAAATGTACCACATTTTTCTTACCCATTCTTTGGTCATTGGGCATCTAGTTTTTTTCCAGGTTCTGGCTATTACAAATAATGCTGATATGAACATAGTTGAGAAAATGTCCTTATGGTATGAGTGTTGATCCTTTGGGTGTATGCTCAACCATGATAGTGTTGTGTCCTAAGGTAGATTTATTCCCAAATTTCTGAAAAACTGCCATACTGATTTCTAAAGTGGCTGTATAAGTTTGCACTCCCACCAGCAATGGAGAAGTGTTCCTCTTACTCCTACAGCTGATAAACACCTTTGGTAATATGGCAGAATACAAAAATTAACTCAAAAATTCAGTAGCCCTCCCTCCTATATACAGATGATAAATGGGCTGTGAAAGAAATCAGAGAAATGTTACCCTTCACAATAGTCACAAACAACATAAAATATCTTGTGGTAACTCTAACCAAACAAGTGAAAGGCTTGTAGAACAAGAGCTTTACGCTTTTAATGAAAGAAATTGAAGAAGATATCAGAAAATGGAAAGATCTCCCATGCTCCTGGAGAGGTAGGATCAACACAATAATTTTATTATTATCAGCATTTATATCAGTGACTTCTAATTATAGTAATCAGAACACCTGAGTAATTATTGTTATGGACAGAAGTTGATGGTTCCATCTTGTTATGGTTCTAATTGCTCTTCTTCTTTGTTCATTCTGTTTACCTTTTCTTTCCTTCTTTGAAGTCAGTAAATAAAGCTTAATATTAACCCCCCTTTGGCTTGTTTTTTATGTTGCCTTATATAATCATTGCTTAGTAGTTGCTTATGATCATACTTCTAAATTATTGAAAACTACTTTCATATATAATATCAGGACCCAATGCAATCTGGCTCATTCCAGTCTTATAATAGTTATTGTATACTTTGGTTTTCACATATTAACGCACATACCATAGACTCCAAATATATTTGTTTTTCTTTTAAAACACCATAACTGAGAAAACATATTTTTTCCACACTTATATAATGACTTCTATAACATTCAATAATTCCTTTAGAAAATCTGTTTACCTATTTTTTTATTGTATATTTCTGAATAAAGAATTCTGCACTTTTTTGGCTTATTTTTAAATTTAATCTATGTAGTGCATTCAATTTGCCCTCTTTCTGTTATAGTTTTAGTACTAGATGAAAAGTCTGGACTTCATGCCTTTATTCCCATGTTATCTCATTCTTTTAAAGTTTGAATACTTATCACTAGATTCTAACCTTTTGATTTATACAGTCCAGGACTACCTGCCCTGGAGTGGCACTGCCCCAGTGTTCAGGCCCAGTCAAGAAAATCTCCACACAAACTATGCCTACTGGCCAAACTCCTTAGTCCTGGATGTGCAATGATATTAATAACTGTATTAAATATATTAAAATGATGAAATAAACATTATAAATAGCAAGAAGAAATTATCAGAAAGAGTAAACAGGGGAAAAGAATCAACTATAGGTTTTGTGCAATATATGCACTTTAAATATAAATTTGACTATGTTAAAAGTTAATGGAAGGGAAACAATTGTAGTGTCATCAATAGATAAAATATAATTCAAAACCAAATTGTTACTAGAGACAGACACAGATAAAAAAAAAATAAAAGCTTAACTCATCAGGCAGATAGTATTTGCTTCCTCTTGACCAATCCCTGCATTATTCTGCTTCTCAGAATTACAATACTGTGTAGTTTCCTCCCAAAGAACAAAGGGTTGATTTTGCTAGCAATCACTTGATCAACATGGGAAACCGTTTTGTCAAGTTGAGGGTTGTGATGCTCATTGACCTATCAGACACACTGATTCCAAAGGAAGACTCACTTGTGCTGCTCCC